AAGCAACATTAATCGTTATTGCTGCTGTTGCTTTTGTATTTTATAAACCAAGTGCAAGTTAATTACATTTTTTTCGTCCTCTTTTTTGCTTTTGAAGTGAAAAAAACAAAAAAAAAAATAATTTAAAAAACAAAAAAAAAAAATTTTTTTTTCTAATTACTTAAAAAAAAGCACTGATGACGATATGGAAATGAATAAAGTGAAGAATTTGGTGGGTTGATAGATGGCCATAACTAAGTGCCAATATTGGGCACATATATACGTTGAATAACAACAGCTTTATCAACTAATATATACATATATACTTAAATATTTTGGGATAATGATGATATAATAACTACTTTTTTTTTATTGCAAATTTGAAACAATTTAATGTTTATATTTTTTTGAATTTAAATTATTGTCTTTTCTCTTTTATCCTTTTTTATTTTTATTTTTTTCTTTTGCATAAACTGTTAATAGTATAATTGTAAAGAAAAAAGTGTTTAGCGATGGTTTATACAATTGTACATCAGCACCTGGAAAACGGTGGTCAATTGATACACCGATACAGTACTACATTGGAGTACTTTATTTTACCCTTGCTTTAGCCTATCAGGTCAGTAGATTCTGTACCAATTTTTCTTCTTTACCAAACTTTTATTCTGTTTTAAATTGTCGACTGTTTAAAGTTATTTTGTTTACACTTTAAGCATACTGTTTTTTTCTTCTAATTTTTTTTCAACATACATAAAAATTTTGATAAAGAAATATTTCAGGTACTGTATGTACCATGCCTTTTGGTAATGGCTCGTGCGTCGTTGACACAACATTCCTGTTTTAAAATTATGTTCTTTTTGGGAATCAACGATATTTTATGCCTATATCTTGGCGGTAGCCTTGCTGGTGTACTTTCAATTTTGGGTTATACATATTGCTCAAGTCCTAATTTACTGTATGTTGTTGGATGTTTTGGTTTGGGTACGTCATTCCCGGTTTTTTCTTTTTTTTTTTATTTTGGAGAGACAAATCATTTACTGCTGCCTTTTTTTTCGCATTTTTAATTTGTTGATGCTGATAGCCAACAGTTGTGGAATGCTTAGCTGTAACAGTAATCATAACTTCGCAATTCTAAAGATCGGTGAAACATTAGAATTAAAGTTTAGAAGCGTTTAGCTAAATGTATTTCAGGTGCTTGGGTAAGCAGTTGTGGATTTTTTGTCATTTTAACAATGGATCGCTTCGTTGATTTATTCTATCCAACGGTGCATGTCTTTACGCCTAAAAATGTTTCGTACTGGTGTCTTTTACCAGGTTTCTGTCTTCATTTACTTGAATTGTTTTTAAAACCGTTTGAAGAGTATAAAACTATTGTCTCAAATTTTTTTAAGAATTTTTTTCCACCTAATCTACCCGCTCCCTGTCTTTTTTTTTCGAATTTTTTCAAAAGTTGATAGTCTGTGTATTTAAAAACAAAAATAAATAGCACAGAAGTAGAAGAAAAGAAAAACGAGACTATATTCAACTTGAAGTTGAAGCTTCGAATATGAGATAACAGATTAAATTTAAAACGACACTAAAACTCTTTGCAAAAAAAAAAAATTTGTTTTTCACATTATTTTATCAATTTATTGCAGCCATTTTTTAGCTTTTTTTTAGCTTTTTTTTTTGCTGATAGTTGTTTATAAATTTGTTAAATTTGTCAACAATTTAGTGAATTTAGTGAGCTGCTGCTTTTGTCGTTATAACTGCAAATAGAAAATGATAAGTTTTCTAATGGTTTACCTATTTATTTCCTAATAAGTACTGTTTGGCAAAACACGATTAAACATAACGTGTTTTGAATGAAAAGTGGCATCCAGAAGAACGGTATATTTATCAGAGCTTAGTTAAGATATTTAAAGTCACGTAAACTTGCAGATTCTAAAATTTTAATTGTCTAATAAAAGATTTTTTACCTCGGTATAGCCGTGCCAAGAGATCTTATGTGGTCAAAATTTTTGGTCTGACAGCTTGATCTACAAGCATCTTGAAAACAAGAAGTGGAAACTAAC